GAAATTAATTGAATTAACCTAATTAATTCACTTCTAAGAATTATCTTTTTAAAATTATTTAAATACCTTCTTTTGTGGCTTTTTGTATTGCAGTAGAATTGAGTTTCAACCATTTTCCTTTGCCAGGTCGTTTAATACCTCCGTATTCTTCAAAATCAGGAACTAACCATGTAGATTTCGTTTTCTCATCATATGCCTTTATGAATCTAACCAAGAAATCTAAGATTTAATTAGTATAAAGTTAACATATGCAAGAGAGAAAATTTACCATTCGGAAACCATCGTTCATGATAGAAGCAACGCCTTATAGGTGATGCTATTATTGCTGCTGTATAAATTAATATTAACAAATAGAAATATAAGAATTTGTATAATGTTTTGAAATAAATTAATAAATTTTCATGCAAAATACTTACCGTACGGATTCATTATAACATCTTGTTCCAATTTGGTTAATTGCTTAAAATCACAAGCTAACGGTGCCTCCGCTCTTTTATATTTCGGTAAATCTTTATTGTATGGACCTTGTGGATCAAGTAATATTGAGTCTTCCCATTCGTGGTACATACGTGTTTGTTGTGATAACGAATTACGTAATATAAAGTTAGTGGGAGGGATTAAAAATTGTTGAATAAATTTATATAGATTCATTTTTGAAGTTTTTTGGAAAGACAAAGTTTGATAGTAATAGATTATCAAAGATGTAGAACATCTGCAAAATTTTTTTCCGGAAATAAGCCATATGATTATCTATCACATGAATGATTAGATCATGTGCATAGACATGACCAATAAATAAACGCACCTATTGTATTTTACATCTATGTATCCATTATCTCAAAAACTGGCTAATTAAATCAATGAGGGGGTGCCTTAAGTAAAAATGTTCTACGCCACCAAAACCCTTACCATAATCTTAAAACGTATTAAACCATAACATAAAAAAATTTGCATCAAAAATGTTATATACAAAACCTATAAAAATTAAAAAATCTAAAAAACATAATATAATAGATGCAAAATCATCATAGATGCGTTTTTACAATAAATGTTAATGTTTAGAATAGTAAATATAGATAATACATATTTGTGAAATATAAACTTCTTTAAAGGAGTTAAGATATTTAGATAATTAATCTAAGTTTTTAATTTTGTAAAATATAAATAAAAACACGTGAAAAAGTTTTATAAATAAAAACGAAAATACTTAACTAGGCAAAAAATCCAATATTTTAATAATATAAACAATTAACTTATTATACAAGATTAACAATAAATAATAGAATATTGATTATATAACTTGCATGATAATGCGAATCCAAAATTGTTATTCAAATACATATACAATAATAATTATTTTATAAACAAATTAATTAATCATTTTTATAGACTAGCCATATCAAAATTTTGAAAATTTCAAATTTTTTAATAATTAAAATTTTAAACCAGAATATTAGCCTTATATGGTCTAATAATATTTTGTAACAAACTCTTTTTCAAAAGTTTATAATAATAAAACATAAAAAAGCTTAATATATTTCTCTATTATATAAACTTTTTAGCATATTAAATAAAATTGTTTAGCTAGCTAATTATCCAAGTTCTAATAATAATAGTTAAGTTATTAAAATCGAATCAATGCTATGGATAGCGTATAATCATGCAGAATTTCCAAAAGTATTTCGGCATCATTTAAATTACCGAAATATTTTCGGCAACTTCATGTTAGAAATCAATACTGAAATATTATTCTCGCTCGGATTTTCATTGCAACTATACCATATTTAAAATATTTCAAATATCAAGGTATATTATGTAGAAAACTATGAGGATGGTGCCATCGTCACTTAGTTGCAAATATTTGCGGTTACCCTAACACATTTCGAACCAGATCTAGTTTTATTTCTAAACTATTTGTTCTTTATCTTTTGTTTATAACAGTGTGAGATCTACACAGCTATTCATACTATCTAGAACGATGTGTGCGTATACAGCCGTCAACCTGAGAATGGTGCAGGGATATACAGCCATTTAATCTCTCCTTTACTATCCTGACGATGTGGAGTACGCAGTCGTCCAGTGTTTCAATTTCTACCAATTTTGTCGTGATTCCACAGCGTTGAAATTATCCAGAAATGGGTGGCGCAAAGCGAAACCCTGGAATTATTGATTTTTCGAAATTTCATTTTTAGAAACGGACTTTAAAGAATCTGATGAGTCTATTTCTGAAGTGAAATTTTCGAAAATCAAGAATTCCAGGTGTGACAATGTTACGACTTGGGAGAGCGTTTTATACTTCCAGCCAAATTTAGCACAGCGCCGTAAGCATTAAGTAAGAAAGACACAAAAGAAGGTATTTAAATAATTTTAAAAAGATAATTCTTAGAAGTGAATTAATTAGGTTAATTCAATTAATTTC